TCACTTTTGCTTGCTTCAGAGCACTGCAGTCAAAGTCCAAAGTCTGATCTTTCAATATACAGAAACTCAGGTCTCCAGTACGTGGATTCTCCAGTTTGTAACTGCTAGTCGGGAAAGGTTATTTGGTGTAACTGACCATGTCACCCTGGCCTGGTCGGCAATTTCACCGAAGGATTCACGCACAGGGTAGTCGAGATTTTGCATCTCATAAAAATCTTCTTTGGCAGCCTTTGGACAGGTTTCCTCAGTGCAGCTGGAAGAGCAAACATCCAGCCGGGCCCCAGGAATGGGCCGGGATGACTGCTGGAGACTGCCAGAGGTCTGTGCTTGCCTGCAGGGCTGGCAGTCCTGCAAATGGCCTTTGCTGACCTGCTGGTCCTGCTGCGGGATGCGAGCGATTGGAAGCGGCACAATCCCCGGCAGCCAGCTGGAGAGCCGGCATCAGGAGCACCGGGGGAGTCTCTCAAGCACTTGTTACTGCTCCCAACAGCCAAGGGACCAAGGCAGGACAAAGCAGACTGCTGGCAGATTTCTTAATTGATGAGTGAGTGCTGAGCACTACAAAAGCCAGAAACCCTCCAGCTTCTGTGTGTTTGCTGACAACGCAGCATTCATCCAGCTCCTGCTTAGCTTTGGCTGTTCTCCTACCGGCTCCACCCAGAGCTGATGAGTTTTGTGCAGCTTTAGAGCCCAAGCCCACTAATGTATGAGTCACGGTGCTGCTTTTTCAAAGGAAAAGGCGTGTGGTCATGCAGACACTCACAGGTACAAGAGGGTGGCACGGCGGGGCTGAGAACAACAGAATTATAAAGCTATTGGACTCTGCAAACATGAAGGTAATTGTTCCTTCTCAAATCAAATCCAACATAAACAATCAAATAATCAACTAGAAGCCTCAAAAGATCAGTGAGGACTTCTTGTAGTGCTTTCATAGGAGCAACTAGCTGTAAGAAAAGGTAAAAGCAAATTAAACTGTAATTTATTTGAGCATTGACTTATAAAACTGAGAAACAGGGGACTATTAGCTTTTTCTGCCTCAGACAAATTAACCAACCAATGAAATTAACAGGCTTCTTCACCAAGAGCCTACTAGAAAGGCCAGCTGTAACCCAGAACATTTACTGTAAAAATTATGAGCCCATGAAAATCTAAGTTTATAAGAATGAAGTTGTTTACAGACCCAAAATAATACCATTCATCATTTTAATGCTTTAGCTCCAAATTAAGACAGTGCAGATGGGCACAATTTTCCGTTCTTAATGTGAGACACAACACCATGTGTCTTTAATATAAGTGCAACATATACACATTCAGCTAGACAGTTAATTCTTGCGTTTCATATTTAAAACTAAGTCATTATCAAAGCAAAAGTGAGTGAATACAAATGCAATGAAGACTGACATAAAAGCTGATCATTTAACATGATCTAAGCTCTTATTTGTAGAATCTAAAAAGAATGAAAAGTTTTCTCTATTTAATGCTTTCAGTTAATCCTCTATCCAAACATTTTCACCAATAAACATCAGATTATTTTATGTTGGCTATAAAGCTGTCACTCCTCAATAAACAGATATACTCCTGGTGGTTTTACCTCTGTTGTCAAAGATCTGTCAATATATGCATCATCTCATAAGCAAAACCAGAGAAATTCAGATGGACACTCTTAGCAAATACAGCTAAGAGGAGGTTGTTCACCCCATAAGAGGATCCATGGAGCTGCAGCCCCCATGCAACAGGCCGTGATTGGAAGATTCCAAGAGAAGTTTGCAAGAACCCTGAAGTTAATACTTTCCATTAATAGAAAGCTATGTGACCTTTAATGCTTTGTTAGACAGAGCCTTCCTTTAGTCAGTCTCAATTAAATTTTATGTTTTGTGGCTCCCATTTTCTTGTAAGACAACAGAAGAGTTCAAGGGATGGATCTTTCTTTGAAGATTTTAATTCCCTGCGGAGAAAATTTATTTCTACCAAAAGAGCCATTCAAAGTGTGAGAGTTGGAGGAAAAGAGATTTTTTTATGTCTGTTTCTTGTTTTAGATATTTCCAGGTATTTGTGAACATATAAAGAATGTTGAGATTCTTTAAGAGGGATAGTATTCTCGCAGTAGCTAGACTGAAAATATTATCTCTGTCCTCTTTATTATAATAGGAAGTAAAACAGAACGATGCTTCAAGAGGTCCTGGCTAGTATTTTTGGTGAAGTACCTTCCATTAAACCATCACCCATTGCTACTGTGATGCTATAGTAAGAGTGTACTGATTGATTTTCAGGGTAAGGCATTGCAGTGAATGAGACATACCACATTCATAAAATTAATAAATCCTTCCTGGGCTGATCCTTCAAACTTATTCTTAACATTAACTGAATAGGGTCAAAAATTGAGGCATTAGAAAGTGTCTTGCTTTCCCGAACTGGGTTCTAACTTTCTAGTTCACAGTAGTTACTACCGTTGAAAATATAAGTACAAACGAGCAAAAGCACTATTCCCAGATGTAAACATTTTCAGGAGCAGCCCATTAGTAACATTTGTTTTTCTGCTATGCTCCCTTATTTCATTAGCTTGCTTTGTAATCTACTCAATGTAAGATTGCATGCGTCAGCAGGGAATTCTGAGTGTGGGAGACAGCTGTCTAAGCGCTTTATACTGTCAGCATACACAAAATTACTTATCTCTAAAAATCACCTAAAAGTGCCATACTGGAATGGGTGGAAGGTGCTTGGGACTAACCAATATAAAATAAATATGGGACATCAGTGATTTTTTTTTAAAACTTTCCTCTCAAAATCACACACTTGAATCTTGACTTCTCACAAATTGCTTTGGTTTGCTTGGAATCTAGAGTCTGAAGACTTTTTTCTTTTTCTCTTTTTGGCATGACATTTCTGTGGTCACAAAGGGGTCTGTCTTGAAGGTTTCCCCTAACTTAAAGATTTCTCAATAATCTCTCTCACTTTCTTCACAAGTTTAACAATCACGAAGCTTCAGAAACTGGACAAATCATGCAGTTGGGAATGCAAGACTCATGGAGCTGGACAGAATTTGGGTACCTATTACCTCTAATCCAAAAGAAATTTAGTTCAAGCCACTGGTAATCTAAATCTGTAACAACTTCACATAATCATCTTCCACTATGTTTTACAGAGCCACGCCTTGATACTTGTAATTATCAGAAATATCCTGGTTTGATACCAGTATTATGGCACAAATATTCTAGAGAATAACTCTTCATCTCTCCCTTCTGAACCTCATGCACTGGTGACCTCTGACTCAGCCCACTGTCTCTACACAGTAAAAGAGCTTATGCTTGTTATGTTAGCACACTCTTCCAAACTGGGAAAATATATAATAATGGAGCCAAATCCATATAATAAATAATAACTGTGTCTCTGAAAACCTTTTGAAAAGTACAATATGTAGTACAATTGAAATATAAAGTACTTGTTTTTTTTCCTCCCAAAATAGCACCAAGTGAACTATAGTTTGTATATTACATTGCAGTTAGCAGTATAAAACTGCTATTTTATACATGTGGATTGTACAAATACCTTGCACAATATAGTAACATACTTAATAAAATAAAATCGTAACATCAATTAACTTACAGTCTTTTGATTTAGGCTCCTTCTACAAACAGTCCTGCACAGGCTTAATTTTATATTCTGACTAATTCAGCCAAAAATATTAGTAAGTATGGATTAAATAAATAGATTTTTATGCCCATTGACTCAAATACTGAAATTAGTTTTGTATTTAAAAATAGTTAGAATATGATTATAAATATTAATCACTTTTTATTGAGAAAACATAGTCTTTTTTGAGAAGCAATAAAAATTAACATACTCAACTTTGAAGCTCCTGAAAGCTAAAAGTTATCCTTTTGTCCTTGTGCATAGCATAAACTATTCCTCAAAATTGAAATCCACTGATAATAGCAAATTAGACTTACCTTCTCACTACCGTAGTGACATATTTCTACGCCTTTCTTTACTTTAGCAATTGAAAACTTGTAGCTGTGTACCTATGTGCTTACACAGAAGTGTAGTTTAGCTAAATCTTACTGCAGAAAACAAAAAGGGTTCTTCATTTTCACTGCTAATCTCACCTCTGCCTTTGCAGCACAGCATGTGGACATTTCTGAAGTCGGTGCCCCGCTGCAGCTATGCTCTCTCCATACATGGTATCTATGCCACTATATTTAAGCACAATTCCATTTTGATCTATATATGGATGTAAAAACAGGTTGCTATTGTACTTTCAAAGTTCTCATGGAAAGCCTGCCAGCTACATAAAATTGGGATTTACTAATTAGAGTTACCTTGATTAAAGGCAAGCTTTGAAGAGCTCCTGTGGATAGCAGGCTTAACTTTAAGCATGTGAGCAGTCCCATTATATTCACTGGCTTCAACTGGACTGCTCATAAAATTAAGCATGTATTTAAATGCCTTTCTGGACCACAGCCCAAGTCACTTAGAGGACCTCAAACTCAGAGCCATGGTACCTTCTGAATCCGGTATGATTCCGGTGGCTCAGCACCATAAATCCTGAAGAGCTTCTTTATTCTCTCAAACTGAAAAGTTGTGGCTCAAGCAAGTCTTGAAAACACTGTCTACCTAACTAGGAATGTTAGCTCATCACAGTTTGGAAACAAGTGCTTCACTGATTACGCCTTATGATAATCTAGTTCAAAAAACTCAGGGAACAAGACACAACATCGTACCGCACTAATGGGGCCATCCTGCACTCAGTACAGAAGCTTGCAGACCTTGCTCAAGCATCTCTACACAGCTGTGCATTATGGTTTGTAAACATATCCTAATAGCAAATCACATATTGTGAGTGTAAGCAATCTTAAGACTGTATTCGTTATGTAAAATTAAATGTTTGCCAAATTCTAGCAATTGCAAAAAGGGAGGAATATAAAGAGGATCTAATGTCTGGAAAATTGGGTGATTAAAATAGGCCATATAAAATTGACAATTTTAAAAACATATACTCTTACCCTTCTCTCTGGAAAATAGTCCTAAAACAGTCCCCCAGGCTCTTGTAACTGGTCGGATCAGTTTTCCCTCTTTGAATTTGGAACCTAAAAAATACAATTTAGATCACAGCATGAGAAGTTAAGGATTTTAAGTCACTTTTAACTTTCCAATTATTATATAAAAGGAGTATTAAATTTTAACATATCTGATTCATTATTATATACCGTTCCTGATATGCTTATTAACACTATTTTCATAGAAGCTATTAAACTAAGGAAAAATAGAGCTTTAGTACTAACATTTTTTTTTGTAGTTTATGGAACTCACAGTATAGCTATCACCTTTGACATTTACACCTTTTTCTAGTTGTTTGAAAAATAAGCTGTTAACCCTGTGCCTTAACCAAAGCCCACTGACATTAATGGGAGTCTTTGAATCCAACCTGGTTTTGAAAATCTGAAACGGAATACTCAAGTGAATTTCATTATGAACTGAATCCACTGTGCAGTTTCTTACTTTCTGTATCTAATGCAATTGCAATTAAAATCAACCAGAGACATTACTGAAAAATAGAGCAGCATTTATTTTCATAACTTAATATGAAGATGAACAATATAACAAAGCAATGAATTATTTTAAATTAAAATCTCCCTTTCTCTATATTACTATTTGTTCCCACATTCATTTCCCTGACAACAACAAGAATATTTCAACAGAATGCTCATGACCTTAAAAAGAAAATCAAGGTTATGACTGAAAACTGCAAACATAGACAGAAAAGTAGTAAATTTAACCTACTATATTAATTAGTTAAGTATCCTGGTTAGATTTTACTACTTCTTCAAGTAAAAATAAAGAAAGCCTGATCAAAGAGCAGTAAGGCTTTTAGTTTGTTGGGATTTTTTGTTAACTACTATAAAGAGAGAGGTAGCACTGCAATTGAGACCTGTCATCCACTGCGCTGAATACAGTAGGTAAAGTTATCGTTAAATCCTTACATGTACTCTTTCTCACTATTATTAATTTTAAAACTGCAGCCAACACACTCAACCAAACAGTATAAAAAAGTCCTTCATCAACAGAATTTTGAATATATTTTTAGGAATAAAACCCTGCACTTATTACTATTTAGTATCCAAAACAATAGCAATTTCAGCCTAAAAGAGCTGTGTATGAGGCAGTTAATGAGTTGACTTTATCACTAAGTACAGCGATAGTTCTGCATGGCAAAAGGTGTTCAATAACTTCAGAGAATAAGTGATATTATAATGAACTATGTTGTACATCACAGGCACAGGACAAAAAAAAATGCCTTCACAGTTCTGTAGATGTAGTTTCCTTCTACGCTTTAAATTTGTTTTCAAGAGATCCTAACCATTAACATTTTTACTGTTTCTACTCTGTTTATTATACTGAATCTCATCAATATTCCATGAACTTCAACTCAGTGTTAAACAGCAGTTTTCTCCTCTTTTCAACAGAGTTAAGCAGGATCAAATCAAGGCTTGTATTCTGGCAAAAGACATTCATCATTTTGCCTATCAGTACTTCCTAAACTGTGTTCTGTGCTAACACATCTAATATTTTATTCACTTTGAGGAAAAATTTCCAGTGATGTAATACAATTCTTTGGGCAATTATGAAGGCAAGTCCACACCTTTTTTGAAAACAGTTAGAAGGAAACACTGAACCTCTCCATAGTCCTAATAAAAGTTGTTCAGGCACATCTGGGATCTCTATCTGGGGTAACCTCTTTTATTAGCAAGAGAACTTGCTGCCAAGTTGGCAAAGGAGAGAATGCTTTTCAATAGGCTTACACTCAAATAAGAGCTGATGCATAACATTTTGTCTGAAAAGAGCCCTTGGGACGACTAATAGTTGAAAATGCCTCAATGCCATCACACAAAGTCCAACAGTAATATCAGCTTCAGAAGCTTTTACATTATAATACTCAAGCACTCAAAGGAACAATAGAAAGCAGAATCTATACTCATTTTCATATATTTAGGACTTGATTACTTGCACCTTTAGTTCAAAATAAAGATGGATTTAATCTGTTTAAGAAAATGTTGCAAAAATTCACCAGCACACAACCTTTTCCAGGCATTTCAATGGTCAAGCTGTCTTAGCCCAAACCCTTTCTTCAAGTTTCAACTCCTTGTAAACTCAGAACAAAGCATAATTATTCTTAAAAATACATTGAATAATGCATCCTTCTCTTCACCCTCCGAATGCTCAAGCATAACCCGTATGCGTGTGTTTTTCAACTGAACTGCACAGGCATAATGGCTTGTGTAACTCAGGCTTTAATCACACACTCACTGCAGATCTCAGAACATGGAGAAAATACCTTATATAATTTTGCTTTACGATTATACTGTACTCAATTATTTAAATAATTTAATACAAATATATCTTTGATAATAATAATGAAAATCATAGCAAAAAAATGCTGCGATATAATATGTACTTTATTTGTATGAGCTGAGGAGACAAGGATAATATCTTGCTGAAGAAGTTAAAAGATGTTTACATTTATTTCATTTTTTTGTTTTGAAGTAGATAAGACTTTATTACTAAATGAGTCAGTCTGTTACCCTGAGTCTCACAAATAACATATTCCCTCCTTTAGGGTTTTTGGATCCATTCCTTACCTAGTAAATCTTTTTTATAGCTTTAACAGCGATCCTAAAATACATGCCAATTATGTGCTTCAACCTAGTTCGGCGAATTGGGTTCTTTGATTCAGATTGCTTGCCTCAATAAAATCATGTGTAATTTTTTAATGAACTAGCTAATTCATCAGCAGCACTTGTTACAAGAAGCTTGAGGAAGAGCTGAAAAGATATTTGTTTGTTTTACTGCAGGCAGCAGCAGCCGCCTGTATTAGTAATCTGAATAAAAGTGGAGCGTGAGAGCATTCACTTCAGAAACAATTTGGCCTGTTTTTAATGATTGTTTAGAGGAATGAACGCAACTGGGGGACGCAGAACTGCTTGCAATGCTTTGAGTCCATTTCTTTCAAAAAGTATTATAAAATCAGTGAATTTCCCACATTCTGGAATGCAAGATGCCTGTCTTCAAGGTAACTTTTTGTTAGAACAGATAAAGATAAATTCTCCTGTAAATGCAATCAGCATACAGCATACAGCGAGTTACTGTTGAGTAACTGGCAGTGTATACAGTATACCTTTACTGACAGCTATAGCTGTATCTCTCTAACAATGATCATTAAATAACTTTCTACTTCTGTCATATTTTCCCCTCTCATCTTCCTGCTTCTTGAGTTTGCTCACAGAGGCACAGGGAGGCAGCTGGGAGCCCAGCGGGTCTCTTTGGGACCTCCCTTGTGTCCCTGGTGTAGCAGCAGCCAGCAGATCTTGATCATATTTGTTCCCTTTGACTGAACTACCTTTGCTGGGGCTCTGACATCAAAGTGTCCCACTATTGTTTAAAAAGAGAACATCACTGTCCTTCTTTGTTCAGATCAGAAGACACAGGGTTAGGATCTCAAAAGGTGGGAATTATATTAAAAACATTTGAGGTTTTGGGGCCTGTTCAAAATGAAAGCCCTCTGTTGAAAACTGAACAATCTAAAGCCATTAAAATATTTCAACTTACTACATTAATCAGCACTTTAACTACTACTTGTGAAACAATTAAACCATAAGTATTCTTATTTTGAGAGCATGAGAAAGGGCATTTTTATGTTAAAAATGGTCCTTGATCAAAAACTTTAAATGGTCTCAGTGTGAAATTCCACAACGCAGGGGATGAGGGACTTATCGTTTCTCTGAGCCACCTTCCATTTAGAAAGTGGTTTGTCAGAACATGAAGCAATGATTCTTCCCTGCATAAAGACCTGTATCTGTTTCCAATGCCTGATTTACAGCTCCTCTTCATTTTATAACAGCCAGTATTTTTCTCCAAGTTTTATAAAATTCCTCAGTCCATAGGATGCTTTCCTGTCCTCCTTCCTATTACAAATCTTTCGTAGTTGACTAAGAAAATTGTTGCTTTCTGTGAAAAAGGCATAATTTTTTCTATCCTCCTTTGTCAGTTGCTTTTTTTTTTTAAGTATAAATTATTGGTGAACAGCCCATCAAAATTTTCTTGTAGATGTCTGCTACTATGATAGTCAGGCATGTAGTGTTCAAAGTCAATGAACAATGACTTTATTCATTCAAAGAATGTTGCCTGACAATCTTTCCCCTTTTTTTTTTCACTGCTCAGGGCTGAATAAAGATCTTACAACTATGTTGAAAATTTTAGTTACCTTAAAACCTAAAAGGAAGGAGCTGCAGTCAGCGGTTATATCCCAGCCATGCAGACCAGTCACAAGGTGGTGTGGAGAAGACTAGAGCTCACCAAATTCTTGCCCCTGGGTTTATAAAGGCAATAAATTCATAAATGCCAGAATTTCTTGGTGCGTTTATACAGTGCTGCTGACTAGCTTCTAAACACAGTATTCGGAAGGAAAGAAAAATATTGTTTCATATAACCAGCCTTCAGACTCCATCAGAATGTTTGCCAATGAGCAAAAGTCTCGGTTGCATCTCGCTTCTTATTCAACTTCCGAGCTCTTCATATGTTTTATTAGTTCTGTACTATGAATAAAGCTCCTAACATTTTCTTCCGTGTTTGGGAATTATGCAATATCAAAGTAAATAATCTCAGCTATTGAGATGTTTAGAAGATATAACGGAGAAAACAGTCATGTGGCACAGCAACAAAATCACCTATGCAATATTATTTTTAAAACAACTTTTAAACAGATGCTTTAGGAAAGCTGAAAACAACATATATAGCCATCCTACACTATCAGTAATTCTCGTCATTCCAGCCACACCTAACAGTAGTTACTCCTACCAGCCTTTCCAAGCCTACTTTTACCTACACTTTTCAAAATATATTGAAAATGTTTAGTCTGAGGCTATGTAAAAAAAAAAAATATATATAAACAGTTCACATTTTATAATCAAGCATAAATGCATTATAATTTTTAAAGATTTCAATTTGCTAACTTAAACATTTATACAGGTGCTACTTGTTAGTGCTAACCAGTGATGCTTAGACTTCATGCAAAATTTGGTACTAAAAATGG